GTGTGTGTGTGTGTGTGTGTGTGTGTGTGTGTGTGTGTGTGTGTGCGCGCGCGCGTGCGTGTGTGCATGCGCACGCGCACGCAAGAGAAAAAATGTGTATCTCAGCATTCACGTTTGTGGTAGTATGCATACTTGGCACAGACAGAAAAACAGGTGAACAGACAGAGTGACAAAAGGATAGGCGGAGGGTCCCTATGAGCCTTTCACAATCATTTAGTGGAGGAGGATCAACACTGTATAGAGACTTACCCCAATGTAGTCAATATCCAGATTGTGTTGCACCTTTGCACCATTGATCCATCTATATATGTAGTCAGCCAGCAGCTCTCTGTTAATGTAAGGGTTCTGAGTGCCATTTCCTATCCAGCCTGGAAAGGCCCAAGGCAAACCATACAGCTTGATCTGAGGGTTCCGCTAAAATCAGATAAAAAGATAAGTTAATCACATACCTTACAAACTATCGTATCTTTACTTTTGCCAGTTCATACAATATTTAATTTGTGGGGGTTTTTTTTGCAAATCTCCAGTACAAGAACTGGGAACATGTAAAAGAATAAACTAAGTACAGATTCACATTTACATTAAAAAGGCAGAGACATACAACCATTTTCAAAGTATCATCTACTTGACATACTTTAAAACCTAAATTCAGCTTACATGTCATTACAATGCTCATAGATGTGTGAAGATTGAGATTCTTGCTTTTCCATTACAATTTTGCTATGACAAATTAAAGATACAAAAACCAAGGCTTAACTTTTTTCCGTAACTATTGTAAAATTTCTATAAAATCAATCACGGTCATTCAACAAAATGAAGTAAATTCTATCAGGTCTTTTATAATCTAATGAACATGACTTATTATTAGCTTACTTCTCTTTCATTTCTTTTATACCTGCTGTTACCTCTCTCTATCCAAGGGGTTCGAGACACAGAGTTTTAAACTACAAATTTCAGCTGACATTACATACCTGACTTTTACTACCGTGAGTAAAGTTTATTTCTTTTCAGGGAAGATTAATAATATGCTGGTTTTTAATATTCTGTAAATCATTTACATTTGACCCGGGCTTTTTTATTCTTCTGTCAAAATGTAAGCTTTCTTTTTCGTACTATGGAGTGCAAAAGTCTTTGACATAATATGTGAAAGATGCACACAGAAAAAAAATAGACCAGTTTTTTTTAAGCTATTGTTTTTCCCCTATCCCGAAAGGCAAATCTCTGGATTCAAAGTACACAAGGAATTTCAGGGAGAAAACATGAAACAAAAGTGCAAACTTCCAGGTCATTAGGGAATGAACTCAAAACTCAAAACTGGAAAGGAACAACCCGAAAGAGAATGACACCCCTTTCTACATAAACACTTTCTCACTCCTGTTTCTATTCACCGTCAGTTCACTCAAATGTGCCCAAACACAGTATTAGTGACACAACATTTTGCAAACCTTTTTTGCCTCTTTCATAAGCCACCATTCGTAACCTCTTTCATAGTTTTCTTCCCAAGGCACATGCATGTGGGATGCTTCAGTTGCATCTGAAACACAATGTTCGGTATAAATACATGTCGACCGCTAGGCATAAGACTCTGCCATACACCATTTTATAAAGTGAAGTATGATGGAGTCATACACTGAACAGATGATAAAATGTGAAAGATAATTTCAATTTTTTTTCATATATTTATAATACCTTGTTTCCAACAACTACAAATGATTGCAGTTTAGATTTGAACTATGGTCTCACAAACTGAACATACTGGGGTTTATTGTTGCAAAAGAGGGCAAAAGAATTTTAACTGAGCATTCTGTATGTGAAAAGTGATTTAGGATTATTGTTTGAGACATAGTTTACATGATAACAATTTCAGAAAGTGTTTAATCATATTATTATAGGCTCCTTGGCGTGTCACAGCCTGAGGCAGTGTAAATCTATAAGTTTTCTCTAAGGACTTTGGTAATTGGTATGCTCAATTGGGGAGGGTTAAAAGAGTAAAAGTAAAGTAAGTAAGGCAACACATATTCATTAAATAAAAAGAAAACAAAGATTACAGAATTTGCAAGTTCCCATTTTGCATGTAACTGACAAACTTACCAGATGCCTGAGCATCTCCTCCTATTTCTACTTTCAAAATTTGAAGTGAGGCACCAAAGCTGGGCTGAAAAATAAAATTCCAGTCAATAACAATTGTTTATTTAAAGTTAACTACAAAGTTTCTTAAGATAAGTAAAATACAGATATACAAGGAAAGCTATACTAGTGGCAGAAAGGTTATTAAATAATGCTGTTTCCTTTTACATTGAAAAAAGATCTTTAAAGTTCAGAGAAGAATAATTAAAATTGTACGCCAAACTTATATTAGCATAGACATTATCAAGAACACATTATAGCAATATGTACCTTAAACAAGTAGTCAAGAATTTCATCCCGTTGCTTCTGAGGGTAACCAATCAACAGCTTTGAAGTTGCCTGAAAATTAAAACCACTAGTGTTTGTTAAAAAAGCTCATGACAATGTAGAGGTGACATTTGCAAGTGAGAATAGAAGAACAGGAAAAAAAATTTGATAAAATATCAATTGAGCATCTCAAAGTCCCTACTTTCAGGGCAGTCACACAATGGAAGGTAGAGAGGGGTGGGATAACGGAGGATGGGTTAAAAAAAACTGTTCAGATTTCCAAGGGTGGAGTTTTTAACTTACAAAGTATAAATGAATGATCAGATTAAAATAACTGGTCTCAAAGAGTGTGATTTTTATAAGAAGTACATTAGCATGTCTGCATGGTGATTATGTAGCTGTATTGTTAACATAATAAACAAATTAAATAAAATAAGTAAGTTGCATCCTTACTGATCCTCCACTCAAGCCACCAATGCCATCAAACTGACGCCCAACACCTCTTGAATCATCAATAACATATTGAGACAAAACTGTGCTAGGTAGCTGAAGCCATACCACCAGTGAGGCCAGGACATGTATAGGGATCCACTGCATAATTAGTCAACTGAAAAAAAAAACCCAAAAAACCACATGTTTAAAAATCATTTCAGATTTAATTCGGAGCATATGCTCATGTATTCAAGTTTTCGTGTACGTAAAAAGTGAATTAATTTCCATGGCAGAAATCAGCAGAAAAATATTAATCGCCAGAGCAATTTCCCCTTATGGCTCCCCCCCCCCCCCACCCCCACCCCAAGCTAACACGCCATTTTCAGGGGTATGAGTAATGATGGCACTTGCTGAAGTGTGTGATAAACTCACAATTACATCTTTCAGGAATTAAATGTTAATATTAAGATATCTTCCTTATAATAAAAAAAAAATTATCTCAAAATTACATTAAGTTCAAAAGTAAAGGGTTTTTTTTGGTATAGTTTTCACAGAAAAGAAAAATTCAAAAGAGGATAACAGAACAGGAGGCATCATTTACAAGTTGGTAAAACGAGGACAAATAAACTTTTTCACATATATCGGTCGGAGAAATCAAACATGCTTACGCTAACAATGGTGAATTCGTTGTTGTTATTTTAAAGCAACACTAAGGAACAGTGTAAAGTCCTCATAAAATAACTATTAAAAAGATCAGTGTTTTAAACGTTTTTTTAACCTAAGTTTTAATCTTCCAAGACATAATAAATCATTTCCAAAGTGGAGGACTTCACCAAGACATAAAAAAAGGTAAAGCAGAGAGAAGAAAAAAAAATGCATAACGAAAGCTTGAAATGGAAATTATCATAGAGAATCTACAGAGTTGAACCTGTCTAAGACAACCAATTTATGCTAAGGAGAAAAGTGTTCATATTTGACAGTGGTCTTCCTGCATAGTATCATTGGAATAGAAGAAACCACAAAAGGGGGGGGGGGGGGGAAGTGGCCGTTTATTCAGGTAATTATCTTTAACAGGTGGTTGTTGGATAATTTTTTCAGCTGTAATTAGGCCTATATCTAACACAAAAATCATCCTGTTGGCTGGCACAGGTAAAATTCAACACCCCAGGGTCTAGACGGTCAGAGAGAACGTATAGCCCAGGGTGTAACATCAATAAAATCAACCTGATTGATTGAGTCCATTTAATGGGCATCCAAATCGGCAATATTTTGGTAATGAGGCTTTCCAAAACGATTTTGCAGTATTATTATTATTATGTTATGTTCACTTCCGTCTCATGCTCATATATAGATGAAATGGAAGTAAGAGCTTTTCTTGCTTATTTTCATCTGATTCCTTTTTACACATACATGTATTTTCAAAATAATATCCGTCACAAATAAATCCCCCCACACCCCGCCATATTTTTTAAGATGTTTCTTTGAGCCCCCCAGATTTTTTAAAACACGCAATATTACTATGCATATAATAGAGGCTTAAATTAGTGTGATTTAGTTCCAATTAACAACATAAAATATTTCCAAATCTAGTCATTTTCCCATAATTGATGTTTAGCAATTAGATTTGAGATTTTCTTGAAAACAATTTGCATTTACGACAGTTTTAGAGGCCACATAAATGTGTGTTCTACAGCCGAATATGGTGTTTAGGCCCCGAAAGGCAGTGTGCATCTGTGTGTTGGAGCAAAAGTAAAAATTTACCAGAATTTCAAGGATCAGAAGAATTTAAAGCTGGGAAATTTTTAAGTTAACTTATCGACTTATCCCTTAAACTCTCTCAAATTACAAGAGTGAGGAAAACATCTGTGTGCTAAAATATGTGGGGCATCCTGGTGAAATCAGGTGCTTGTCAGAATAATGAAATTGAAGAAAACTTCATTTTTCTGCGGGTTTGGCAATTTTTTCCCCAATTTTTATTTTTTGGCTCAACACCTTTTATATGTCTATTTTAAATTAAAAACAAATTTGTCATAGGCACAAAAAATGTAAATTTTCGTTTCCCAAGGACTCTCAAACTATGGAAGTTACCAAATTTTGGCGGCCATTTTCTCGATAAATTTACCTCAGAAAACAGGTGACCTCATTTCAATCAGGGAAATATCTCGACTTCTATTCAAGATTATATGGGTGTTTTTTTCATCATACGTAAGACAAGGAAGCTTAACAGGATTACACCATTAACTCAACAATGCCCAAAAATTGACGAGCGCCTGATTTCACTGCGTCGATGACACATAATACATGTGTGTGTGCCTGGAGCCATTTGTCGGCAAAGCTATAAGGCAGCTTGGATCATGAGTGAAAAGGTCCAAATATTTGTAGCGCCCTACTTAGTCAAAAATTGTGGTCCATCAGAAAGCACACATTTAACCATTTCTCAATGAGACATTGAAAGGATTTTATAATATTTCAGGGTTAAATATTTTCTCATTAGTTATTTGCAGCACATTGTTCATCATCATGATTTTCATCAAAGGTTAAAATTAACTAGAAACTAGAAACCGGGCACGTAACGTCAGTATCTATGTACATGGTAACCGGACACCTAGTTAGTCTCACCTAGACTCAGTATCTCTACCTACACACGGTAACCGGGCACCTAGTCTCAGTATATTAGTATATATACGTACACGGTAACCAGAATGAAAATAAATCAACATTTTGTCCTGTGCTGTCACTTGCTGAAGAAAAGAAAAAGTCATACAAGTGTCTTGTCGGGCTCGCAATCGTGACCAGTCAGTGAACCTGCATGAGTGTATCACATTAAGTGAGTACCGGTTGGGGTCACAGAAATTCATTCAAAGTCGGTGCGCTGCGAAGTATAGGTATAGGGCTCCGGAATGGGGGGGATATTATTGATTTTTTAATTAAAAGGTAGGCCTACAGTCGGAGGAGGGGTGGGGATGAAGGCAAGCACCGGATGACAAAAACTGAACTTGGAGTTCTTAACTGCCCGGTTACCGCGTACGTGACACTGAGTACGAGCCCGGTTGCCCGTTACCGTGTACGTAGATATATTGAGGCTACATGCAGGGTTACTGTGTACATGACACTGAGACTCATGCCCGGTTGCCGGTTACCGTGTACGTAGACACTGAGGCTAGGCGCCCATTTACTGTGTACATAGACACTCTGTTTTCTCTATTGAATTGTTTTTACACCCCTTATAAAATGTGACATATCTTCAAAACCACTTTTTGAAAACTATAAATTGCAAATTTTTTTTAATCAGCGAGTTCAGCATTGAATTTGCTACAAGAATATATAGGCCTATATGCCCTTATTTCTGCAATAGATCTAGATTAGCTATCCAAAATTTTCGACAACTCGCAGCCCGGTTGAGGTGCGGGACCTTAATTTCTCCAAGCACACAAAACAGGCTACCAATGCTACTTAACCTCTCAGCCCCACAATCAGGAAGACACCGTCACCGTAAAGTCTAAAATGAGAAATATAGTTACAGGCAAAGAGGAAGGATGCTCGTTTCCGTAGACCAAAGTTCAAAGTCAGATAAGCAACATCACTAACAGTATAAACAAAGAAGCAGTTGGCCAAGGCCACAACGCCAACAGTGCAGCCACTGAGGCTGAGGTCTGAATTCTGTACCCGGTAATCAGAAACCAGGATGTATGATAAGGAAAGGTTTTAAAAATCGACCTTGAAGAATAGCAACAACACTGAAAATGTCATTAAATATTCTTTGGATATCGATGGGTCTTTGCAAAACGTGGACAACTCTTTAAGGAATTCCTAAAAGGGAACCAAACATCAAATTGTTTACTCACAGTGGAGTTTCACTTTCAATACAAAACAATCACTGAGATCTTTGTCATATGATATAATCACGTGATATCCTTAAATATTTTTTGTAATCACTTGGCTTTTTGTACATTCGTCTTTAATCATGTAAACTTGGAAAATAAATAAAAATATAGAAGCTCAACAAATCTTTGAGCTTTAGATCTAGTTACTTTAAAGATGCACAGTATGTCAAGATAGTGTAAAATGAAAATGATTTTTTTTATATACTTGTTTGGGATTTTTTTTTTCTTTGCATGTAGACTACTATTAATTTTGATCTGTCTCGGTACAAAAATCACTGGCTTGATTTGTATCCACTGAGCATGCGCAGCTTACATGGCAACAATACTCCATTTGTATACTTCCTTTTTCAAATGCGATTGGTGTAAATTGGTGTTGCTTCAGTCTCGACAAAGCCCCCTCCAACAATCATGACTTCGAGAAGAAAATTTCAAGAACAGTTTATTCAGAATATGCTGAAAAATCACAAGAGTGATTCAGAAAGACCGTGCCATTGTAAGTAACGTCCTACTGTTGTCAACTGCTTTTGAATGAAGTGAATAGAAGCGTCTGCATGATGATGTCCATGCCATGGTCACTCACTGACAGTTCAGGCCTAGGTTAGGTTAGGCTAGAATCTAGATCTAGATCTAGATCTAGATCTAGATTAGATCTAGAAATCTAGATCTAGTTCTATACTAGATTCTAGATCTGTAACTTATTATAACTACAATAATTAGCGAAGTGCCAAGACTAGATCTAGTGCAGTACAAAGCCAGTGACAGTTTCCAGTGTCTCTGACATAAGAGAAAATATTACTAGATCTAAGTTAAACTGATTAAATCGAGGACTGCGTTTATATGATGGTATACCTGCCTTATGAATAATACGGTAAATTTTTACTTTCACTCCCGCGCACAGAAACACTGTTCGGCGCGGGGGTCAAACTGCAGTACTGTGTTTGCAGCAGATCCCACATAAAGCCACTAACTAAAACTGTCGCTTATCAATTATTTTCAGGAAAATTTCAAATGTAACCGCAACTTATCAAATTATGGGTTAAAACAGGGGGGGGGGGGGGGGAAGTGGCCGTTTATTCAGGTAATTATCTTTAACAGGTGGTTGTTGGATAATTTTTTCAGCTGTAATTAGGCCTATATCTAACACAAAAATCATCCTGTTGGCTGGCACAGGTAAAATTCAACACCCCAGGGTCTAGACGGTCAGAGAGAACGTATAGCCCAGGGTGTAACATCAATAAAATCAACCTGATTGATTGAGTCCATTTAATGGGCATCCAAATCGGCAATATTTTGGTAATGAGGCTTTCCAAAACGATTTTGCAGTATTATTATTATTATGTTATGTTCACTTCCGTCTCATGCTCATATATAGATGAAATGGAAGTAAGAGCTTTTCTTGCTTATTTTCATCTGATTCCTTTTTACACATACATGTATTTTCAAAATAATATCCGTCACAAATAAATCCCCCCACACCCCGCCATATTTTTTAAGATGTTTCTTTGAGCCCCCCAGATTTTTTAAAACACGCAATATTACTATGCATATAATAGAGGCTTAAATTAGTGTGATTTAGTTCCAATTAACAACATAAAATATTTCCAAATCTAGTCATTTTCCCATAATTGATGTTTAGCAATTAGATTTGAGATTTTCTTGAAAACAATTTGCATTTACGACAGTTTTAGAGGCCACATAAATGTGTGTTCTACAGCCGAATATGGTGTTTAGGCCCCGAAAGGCAGTGTGCATCTGTGTGTTGGAGCAAAAGTAAAAATTTACCAGAATTTCAAGGATCAGAAGAATTTAAAGCTGGGAAATTTTTAAGTTAACTTATCGACTTATCCCTTAAACTCTCTCAAATTACAAGAGTGAGGAAAACATCTGTGTGCTAAAATATGTGGGGCATCCTGGTGAAATCAGGTGCTTGTCAGAATAATGAAATTGAAGAAAACTTCATTTTTCTGCGGGTTTGGCAATTTTTTCCCCAATTTTTATTTTTTGGCTCAACACCTTTTATATGTCTATTTTAAATTAAAAACAAATTTGTCATAGGCACAAAAAATGTAAATTTTCGTTTCCCAAGGACTCTCAAACTATGGAAGTTACCAAATTTTGGCGGCCATTTTCTCGATAAATTTACCTCAGAAAACAGGTGACCTCATTTCAATCAGGGAAATATCTCGACTTCTATTCAAGATTATATGGGTGTTTTTTTCATCATACGTAAGACAAGGAAGCTTAACAGGATTACACCATTAACTCAACAATGCCCAAAAATTGACGAGCGCCTGATTTCACTGCGTCGATGACACATAATACATGTGTGTGTGCCTGGAGCCATTTGTCGGCAAAGCTATAAGGCAGCTTGGATCATGAGTGAAAAGGTCCAAATATTTG